CCAAATTGTAAGATCCTTTCCCTTTCTCCATTAGGAGAGAGCTATATCATGTATATGCTGACTCGATCCGGACAGTCGCTTCAGAAAATGGAGTTTTACATGCATGCTTAAGATGAAACTTTTTGGCATTTAACTGGCATATTTCTTGTTGATTTTTTTTTTACTTTTTATGCTTCCCTTTGAAGAAGGGAGGGCATATTGCTTTGCTGCTGTCTGTCGGTCGGTCTGTCGGTCCATCAACAGTTTCTATTCATTTTCTTTGCAGAGTCGCACATACTGAAATGAAATTTGGTATACAGATTTGTGTAAAAGTGTTTCACAAACATCTTTTGTTACTTTTTTTTACTTGCCTCACTAAAAATTTGAGGCTAGTTACAGCCTTGTAGTATCAGAGAGTGTGATTTTTTTTTTATAAAAGGCTAGTTTAAGGTTATATTTTGGATTTTTCAGTTGTAATACTTTGTGAATGTGTCATAGAAAAATATTTTATTTAAAAAAAAGTCAAAGAACCCTTGGGGTATGGAACACAGGATGGTGGGGGGGGGGGGGGGGGGGGGAGTCCTGTCCCCAAGCATCTGTGTATTAAACAACAAAATAAAAACATTCAACATTGGATAAATAATTTTAAAATTAAATGTGTATTAAAAAATATTACAGATTTAATAACAATGAAGGGCAATTTCTTCTGCTTTAAAGTGCCTAAGTTACAGTTCCACTTTTTAATGCCACCCCTGTTTTAACTCCAAAATTGCTGAACTACAAATGTTGGCAGTAAAATGGGGGAACACTGTACATAGGAAATATCTTTAAGAATCTTCTTCTCCAGAACCACTGGGTCAGGAAAGATGAAAATTATGTGGAATATCCTCAGGAAGTGAAGATTCAAGTTTGTTCAAATCATAACCCCTAGGGGTAGTGTGGGGCCACAATGGATGATCAAAGTTTTACATGAGAATACATAGGAAAAATCCTCTTCTCAAGAACAGCAAAACCATGATTTGTCATATATATGGAAGCATCCTTAGGTTGTGTAGATTCAAGTTTGTTCAAATCATATGTCCCCCAGGGGTAAGGTGCAACCACAATTGAAGATCAAGATTTTACATTGATATACATTGGATAAATCTTTAAAAATCTTCTCAAGATACCTAGGGGGTAGGGCATTGCCACAATAAAAGATAAAACTTAAGGGAAAAAATCTTTAAAAATCTTCTTAAGCCATGATTTGTCCTCTGTTAGTGTAGATTCAACTTTGTTCAAATCATACCCCTCCCCATAGGTGTAGGTTGATACCATTTATAAAATACTGAACTCCTAGCCAAATGCTCAGGTAAGCAGTGTGGCCCATGGGCCTCTTGTTTCTTATTTGGTCTACCTGATCCCTGTGTCCACTGAAACGATGCCAGATTTCAAGTTGTATGAGCACTGATTGAAATAATAGAGTCTAACTGAATAAACAAAAGGTGATAAAGGAAAACTTAAAATATGTTTTGACGTACAGTTCATTGCAATGAAAAAAGAAAAGAAAAGATTTCAGTTGCTTATGAAAATAAAATTACCATATTGGTGAAAATGGTGAATGGCAGTTCAAGCACTGAGTATATATAGATGTAATAAAATGTACTTTGACCCAAATTTGCAAAAATAAATTGACACAAAAATTTCCAGATTTACAATATGACCTTATTAGTGACTAGTGTTATTTGGAATGGTCAAGGTTACAAGATTTGGAGGTGCAAAATTAATGGACTTACCATTATTATGGAGTGAAGGAACAGTGGAAGCTCAAACTTTTAAATGATGTTGACAATGACCAGGAGTTATGGCTTTATTCTGAACCAAGCAATAGCGACAAGGTCACAGATTTCAAAAGTGTTTTAAAAGGTTGCATCTGGATAATTGGCATAATATGCAGCTCATGATCATACTTGGCACAAAGGTTGACAAAGAATTTGTCAAGATCTTAAACCATGCAGTTACATTTGAAGAAAGTCAAGGCTGCATGGAATGTCAAGATAGATTTCTTGTCAAATTATTGAGTTTTTATAAGCATATGCTTGATACTACTTTGACATGGTTTTCTTATGGGAGGAGGGGGCCAGGGGTTAGTCCACTTTTGATAGTTTTATTGTTCATGTATTGTTTGTTACTCAGATTTGAATATTTCTAAAAGATTAGGCACAGTGTAATACATTCGTCCACTTTGGCTTAAATTAATTTTCTTTTTTATTCCATTCAGTGGTACTAAAACTAATGTTTAAAATGGAATTTTGTGCATCTTTCAGCTTAATAACCGGATGCAGACTGAATAAGGATAACAGTAATGCATATATACTTTTATGACAGGGGCTTTACAGAGATGATGAGAGAATGGGACCAGGGGTCATGACCTATGCAGACAATACTCAAGATATTGGTTTGTGGCTCAAGGAGAAACTAGTCAAAATATGTACCCCCATAAGTAAGGCATTCACCATCCAAAACCACAAGCAGTTTGTGTTCAGCCCAGAGGAACATGTTCTTTATATTAACATGAATGAAGAAGAGAAGAAGTCCGAATCTACAGACAAGGTCTGTAATCCGGACATATTTGATCTATTACCAGAGAACCAGTTAACTGACAAGGTGACTGATATGTATAGTGAGACTTTAGATCCAGGTAGTCTGGCCATAAACAGATCTGAATTCTGTCAAAAATTCTTTGAAGACCAGGATGGAGAGAAGTCTGATGGAGATGAGAAAGTTCTGGCCATTAATCGCACTCCTGGAATGATTGACATACAAAGACATGTTTACCGCCATAGAAATGGAGACAAGAATGTTTCATTTGATGTTCAGGAGATTATGAAGGGAAACAGGGGAGGGAACTTTCTAAAGAGAGGGCCAATAGAGGCAGCATCTGAAGAACTTATCATGGCAGCCACCGATGGGGATGTCAAAAAGGTGGAAGATCTCTTGACTTCTGGCAAAGTTCACCCTGATGTTGCTGACAGAAATGGCCACACTGCACTCATTGGTGCCAGTGTAAGTTTATTATAATTAATTGAGTTAAAAGATTTGAAAAAAAAATCTGAAGAAATAATATTTTAAATAATATAAATTAAAAAGAAAATTTTTTGTTAGAAATGAATTTTATTTTGTTCCCTGGACAGCAAATATATACATGACAGTAAATTTCTTCACAATACAAATTCCTACAGAGTTCAAAGTCACATTCAAGGTCAAGGTCATGGCAGGTTAACAGTCTCAGTAATTATTGATTTCTTGCCTAATTTTCTGCAGGTTAATTGGCATACAGATGTTATCAACGTGTTGTTAAACAATGGGGCCAATGTGAACCAGTTGAATGATGAGGGATGCTCAGCGCTGTCTGCAGGCACAATTTTCTTCTATCCAATAGAGGGATTTAGGCAAGTATTATGTATTTGTTTGTTTGTTTGTTTATTGTTTAACGTCCCTCTCGAGAATTTTTCACTCATATGGAGATGCCACCACTTGCCGGTGGAGAGCTACAAATTTTGACCTATACTCAGCACTCAGGGCCATTGAGCAGTGAGGGATCTTTTTCATGCCAGCACCTACTTCGACACGGGACCTCGGTTTATACAGTCTCATCCGAAGGACCGGTCTCCACATCCCACAGTGGGATTCGAACCCGCGACATAAGGATCAACTCCTTACTCTGCGACTCTAGAGCGAACGCTCTAACCACTGCACCACGCGGGCGACACAAGTATTATGACCTGATAAAAAGCCACTGTAGAAATATTGCTAATTTGACCAGATTGAATTTTTCCCTACACAGAAACACTACATTTTCTTGTGGTCATGACCCTTATTTTCTGTAATCTTTGTATTGTTACATTTTCCTGTATGTGAAATTGTAAACTGCATTACTATTTCTTCTCCATAGATATAATATAGCAGAGAGGTATCTAGATGTACCAACAACTTTGTCAGAGAAAGAGAAAAAGTCCTCAATCAGTCGCAGTAAGGCAACCACCAGTAGAAACAAATCTAATGCCAGCCCAACAAAACAGAAAACAAAGTCCTCCCTTAATGAGCCTCTGTCTGGTGTCAGTAATGCAGAAGATAGAGGTCCAAGTCCAATAGCTAAGCCCCAGGTCCGAATCATGGAACCTGGGGGCCAGGCACCTAGTGATCAAAGTGGTGAAATTACAGACTTTGGTGTAAGCGAAACCCAGCAGAAGACAAAGGAAGATCCAGATAGTGTGGATTTTGATTCCACTGCTACGTTACATGATTATCACATTGAGGTTTCAGACAGGATGATAGAAAGATGTGCCACACAGCTTAGTACTAACGAGATGATTGTTGGGGGCAGGCGATCTAACAACAGTGCAGACCTAGGAAGAGTTAGGAATCTTGCAGTCATCAAAAAGGAGTAAGAGATGAATACAAGACACTCTGAGAAGAGTTCTGGTATTGTTACTGTTGTCTGTTGGGCTCATCTTTCATCTCTCTCACTTTTTATACAAGATAAATTCTGTCTAGACTTAACTTTGAAAATGAGAAACTTTAGAGGCTCATACTTGATACAAATGGAGCTTGACCAATTGTATGAGATCTTGATCTTGTACCAAGGTAATTTTAGACAAGATAAAGGTCACATGATACCAAAATATTATTATTGTTTTACCTAGAATTTTGAAAGGAGAAATATTAGAAGCTTATATATTTAAGGTAGAGGTTGCTTGTAACTCCAAAGTGTGTCCTGATCATATTCCAGAGTGAACAATCAAGGTCACAGATTTTAGAAATAAAAAAAAACTCCTCCATATAACCAAAGCAGAGAAAAATATTTTAAGATTACTGTAAAAAGAACTTTTTTCATGTGTGAGAAATATCTACAAGTTTTGAGACCTTCTTTTACTCACCAGATGTAAATATTTATTGCCCAGAACCATTCATTTAATCATGCATTTATAGGTGTCGCTAAAATTTGTTGATCTACAGTAGTATTTGGTTTACAGTATACTAGAGCTGTTTACTTTTATGGTTTCTCCATATTTTGTATGTAATCACAAGTTAAAATATACCAGAAAAATTCTTTACGTGATACATTTTAACTTGATTACAGAGATAATGTAGTAAAATTGATTGGATTTCCAAAACTTTGTTTAAGAGTTTAATAGTTTTAAAATTAGTTGTATGTTTTATTTTCATTTGAAGGAGAGAAAGAATGAAGAGTACCTTAGATTTACTTTTAAAGAGAGGTGCAGATCCGAATGCTTCAGGGGTGCCTATGCCAGTTTTGTTCTTTGCAATAAAATCAGCTGATGTTGAGGTGGTGAAAACACTATTAGAAAAGGGTGCTTCTACTGCCATCACCCTCCCAAAAGAGGTACTTGGACAGTTATTTTATTGAATTTAAATTTAAGCCATTGTATGACATTTGCTTTTTAGCTCACCTGAGCCGAAGGCTCAAGTGAGATTTTCTGATCAAAGAGTGTCTGGCGTCCATCATCTGTCATCTGTAAATTTTTCACATTTTCGAATTCTTCACAAGAACCACTAGGCCAATTTCAACCAAACTTGTCACAGAGCATCCTTGGGTGAAGGGGATTTAAGTTTGTTCACAGGAAGTGCCATGTCCTCTTTCAAGGGGGAGATAATTAAGAATTTGTGAAAATTTTGTGGCATCTTTTAAAAACCTTCTTCTGAAGAACCACTGGGCAAGAAAAGATGAAACTTTTGTGAAAGCTTCATTACATACTCTAGGTTCAAGTTTGTTCATATCATAACCCCCGGGGGTAGGCAGGGCCACAAGAGGGGGTTGAAATTTTACATAGGAATATATAAGAAATGTCTTTAAAAATCTTCTTCTCGAGAACAGCAAAGCCATTATTAGTCATATTATTAAAGAAGTATCCTCAAGTAGTGTAGATTCATGTTTGTTTCAAACATGACCGATGGGGGTAGGGCAGGGCCACAACAGGGGATCAAAGTTTACCACAGGAATATATAGGATATATCTTTAAAAATCTTCTTCTCAAGAACAGCTAAGGCATTATTAGTCATATTAATACAGAAGTATCCTCAGGTAGTGTAGTTTCAAGTTTGTTCAAATCATGTCCCCCGGGGGGAGAGCGGGGCCACTACAGTGGGTCAAAGTTTTACATAGGAATATATACATGTAGGTGTAAGGGTTAAGGGGCATTGTGTAAAATGCATTGAAGACTTCAAATAGTGGAATGACGCAACAACCCTTGGAATGGACTAGCTAAAGGGTATATAAGGCAAAGCTTTGGGAAAGTCAGGCATTCAGAAACTAGCTGAAGAAGTTGGATGTTGAATCAGCAATAAAGAAGTTAAGGGTAAGAGTAAAATAAAAGTTATAAGCACCAGTGGCAAGTATCCTAAGAAATTGATGTTAAGTTCTGTGTGTAGTAAACCTGCAGAAGATTGAGACACCCGGTTCTTATCTATCAATGGGAACCTAGGGGGAGAAACACAGTGCAAGTAGTACCTTACCCAGTCCCCATCTCTAGATAAGAGAAAAATTTAAGAACTGTGTGATTTACCCTCAGACAGAGCGGTCTTAATAAGCATTATAATCATTAACTCAGAAAAAAGAAAACCTATATATCCCTTGTAAGAACTTGATGATACACATTACATAGGAAATATCTTTAAAAATCTTCTTCTCAAGAACAATGAAGCTATTTGTAGTCATATTTATACAGAAGCAACCATAGGTATTGTAGAATCAAGTTTGTTCAAATTATGACCCCCAAGGGATTGGGGGTGGACAACAAAGGGTCAAAGTTTTACACTACACACAAATTGAAAAAATTCTTCTGCTCAAGAACCCTAAAGCCATGATGACATATTATTATAGAAGCATCCTTAGGTAGTGTAGATTCAAATCCGTTGAAGTTTGGGGTGGTAGGGAGGGGCCACAATGAGTGGTCAGAGTTCAGGTGAGCGATGGGGCCCACGGGCCTCTTCTTTTTTTGAGATATTATTGGAACTCATTTTTTAACATGTTCTCCATGTTTGTTACTTTAGAAAGGTGGCCTAGCACCCTTACACATTGCTGCGGCTATACCAGGAGAGGAGGGTGTAGAGATCACAGAGCTGCTTCTGGAGGCTGGAGCAGATCCTGATGTCAGAGCCACTGAGGATGACTCATTCCTGAATAGAACTCTAGTAATAATTATTATCATTTTACTATCTATTTCTCAATTATCTACTTTATAGAGCACATGCAATTCAACAAAAATTTATATGAAACTAATAGGTCATCATATTCCATCTAGTATTAATAAGTTTCATGTATATGTTGAAGTATTTACAGGTATATTCAAAAATGATAGTAGATAATATCCAGATTTAATTGAGACACTCTGTATTCATGAATTGTATTAAGAGAGAGACATATTCAGGTTTGTGCAATCCTCTCAAATTAGGACTTTGTAGAATGTAAAATGTATTAATGCCCTTTCATGAGTATGGCATGGGTACATAGTATTTGTCACATCTGTCTGCCATTCCTCCAACGTTTACCTAATATGACCCATCCTTTTCTCTGTCCACACTTCACACTTGGCTTTTAGTTCAGTTTCAAAGAAACTTTTAATATTTCTGAAAAAAAAAAAAATTAAAAATTGCCTTCATCTTCCATGTAACCTTGACCACATTAGTCCTTATTTTAATAATGATAATAATAATAATAATACTTTATTTAAAGAGGGTAACTCAATTAGTGCAAGCACTATTCTTCCTCGAGGCCCTCTATAAAATTACAATAATACACGTCAAATGATAAATAATACATTCGACAGTAATATAACACAACATACATTAACAATACATGCAATATTAAATTAATGATACAGTCCGCAGATATACAATTTTTTAAATTTAAGTTGATCGTTGGTCTATTATAAATTTTCTTGTCTTGATTCTAAAATTTTGAAGTGTTGGGCACATTTTTACATTTAAAGGTAAATTGTTCCACAATACTGCACCCGAATATTGAAAAGAATTTTGAAATATTTTAGTTTTGTGTTTTGGAACACACAAATCAAACTTAGATTCAGATCTTAGATGGTAGGAATTGGATGATTGGTAATTGAACATTTCAGACAGGTAGTTCGGACTTGCACCGTAAAGCGTTTTATACAACAACACTAACTTATTTACAGCCAATTGTTCATGTACTGACAGCCAATCAAGTTTTTCAAATAAAGGTTTTGATGGCGTGTCATAGGCAGCATCTAGAATACAGCGAGCTGCCCGTTTCTGTAACTTATGAATCCTCTCAAGGCTAGAGGCTGATGCATTACCCCAAATTGTTAAACAGTATTCAATTGATGGCATTATATAAGCATTATAGAATAACTTTCTTGTATTGATTGGAAGATATTTCTTAATCTTGCGTAATACAGGTATCTTTCTAGATACTAATTTACAAACAGCATCAATATGTGTATTAAAATTGAGTGAATTATCAATATGAATTCCAAGTAGTTTTTCATGTGTGACACTCTCAAGAAAGTGGTCTGAAATTTGTAAATTTAGATTTTGGCTCGACAGATTTGACTGTCTTTGATGTGTCCCAAACAACATGCATTTTGTTTTACCAGTGTTCAAAATCATCTGATTCTGAGAGCACCATGTTTCTATAGTGTTTAAATCAGAGGATAACACATTTTGAATGGAAGAAACATCACTGTCAGAAACGTGTAGAGTAGCATCATCAGCAAATAAGTCAATGCTTGAATTTTCAATGAACAATGGGAGATCATTAATGTAAAATAAGAAGAGAAGTGGACCTAAAATTGATCCCTGTGGCACTCCCGCTGTGACTAACTGTTTTTCAGATCTTATATTTCCAAGTTGGACACTCTGAAATCTACAGTCTAAATATGAGTCAAACCATTGTACTGCTTTGGGGTCAAAATTGTAGCAACGAAGTTTTTTAATCAGAATATCATGATTCACTAGATCAAAAGCCTTGCTGAAATCAAGAAAGGTTATGCCGACAAGTTTACCATTATCCATTGCTTGTAACCATTCATCAATTAGTTTAGTAAGAGTAGTTTGGCATGAGTGTGATTCTCTGAAACCTGATTGTGATTTGCATAGTAAATCAAAATCTGATTAGTATTTACGGATATGATTAGCGACATGTTTTTCAATTATTTTTGACAATGTGGGGAGGATAGATATTGGCCTATAATTACCAGGATCAAGTCTATCTCCTTTGTATATGGGCGTTACCTTTGCAAATTTTAGTTCATTTGGAAATATTCCTGTAGAGATACTGACATTGATTAAATGAGTGACAGATTTGTATATGACTGGTGCAGCATGTTTTAGTAGACGTGGACCTATGGTATCAATACCAGCCGATTTATTTACATCAAGTTTGTTCAATAATGCTAACACGTCGTTTTCACGTATAAGTGGAATACTAAATTTATTACCATGTTCAAGCTTGGTTTGTAATAAGTTTGTTCGATATACCTGTAAAATGATTGTTAAAAATCTCAACAATTTCTTGCGTGTCCTCAGTTGTACTATCATTGTCAGATATAGACATTGGTACAAAATTATGTGATTTTGATGCTAGTATGTTCAATGTGTTCCGCATTTGTTGTGGATTTTTGCTTTGCTCTATGGTTGACCTATAATAGTTGACTTTTGCACTGTCTATAAGTGCCGTGATCTGTTTCTCCAGATTCTGAAGTTTTCAAATCACCACTTTGATGGAAACTGTCACGCATATGTTGTGCCTTAGTGATTTCTGGTGTTAACCATTTAGGGCGATTATTGTTTTCTACTCGCTTAGTTTGAATTTTTGCATGTTTGTCTAATACTTTGTTAAAAAGGGTATAAAAGTTTTTTCAAAATTTCATTTGGGTCACATATGCTTTCCAGTGATGTAAAATTAGCACTATCTAAATCATTCAGGAAATCAATCTCATTGAAGTTTTTAAAGCATCTATATGATATCTCAGTGTGCTTTCCTTTACGTATAAGGAATTTATTTGTTTTTCTTGTGAAACACACAGGGTAGTGGTCTGACAAAGCAATGGGGGGCACTTGAATTTCACACATGTTTTCGGGTAATTTGAGTTGAGTTTGTGTTGAGCATGCTTAAATAATAACTATTCAAAATGTTTTCATCAAAACTCATACACTGATACATATTGGTGGGAGCATTCAACTCTTTTCCTTTTTTACCTTGACCTTCCCTTTGACCTTGACTTATGTTCTAGGACCTATTTTGCATGTAGCATAGTTTAGAAGAAACTGTTCATAATATTTTCATCAAACTTCTTAGACTTATACAAATTGGTGAGAGCTATTTAACAGTTACTGTGTCATAATTTTCTGTCCTAGACATTCCTTAAGACTTTGACCTTCCCATGACCTTGAACTTCATTTTTGAAGATGATTTAATCAAACTTCATATATTAGGATACATATTGGTAAGAGGAATTCAACTCTGTTATTATTTTCCTAGCTTGACCTTTCTAATGACTTTGATCTCTTATATACCTTCATTTTGCAGTTATCTAAGTTTAAAAAAAAGTTTTTAGATATTTTCATCAAACTTTGAATACTAATACTAATGGGAGGGCAATAAATTTTTGACATTCCTTATGACCAGTGTTTGAAATTCACCTTTATATATGATAAGCTAGACATGCAGGGCTGATTACCAGTAAAAGTTGTCAGCCCTGCCAATTTGAATGTCTGCTGGCATAAGAAATCAGGCATATGGCTATTTCAGACAAAGCTTATGACCCTGAATTTGACATTTTTTCCTCATTTTGCACTTACCGGTAGTCCGTAAAGGATTACTTTGGAAAACTCCATACACCAATATTCTCTGTAAGAGCCTTTTTACCATATACTTAAGAGATCATACATAGATTTGCTAAATATGACAAATTGAGCTTGAAACAATGAGACTTTATTTAGCTGTTACATAATAGATGGGCTTCATCAATTTCAGACCAAAGAAGGAAGGTACATTTCTGTTTTACTGTTGCTTTACAAATGAACCTTAAGTGAGGCATTCATGTCCTATGGAAATATTTCTAGTTCTTCAATTATGTTAATTAAGGAATAAATTTAATAGCTACCCAAGTTATGCTGGTATAACCTGGGTTGGGACAGTTAACGCTTTATAAACCATGAAGCGGTTTATAAAAAAGCGTTAACTGTTCCAACCCAGGTTATACCAGTATAACTTGGGTAGCTATTAGATTCATTCCTTATAATTTAATTTTCCATCATTAGGTGTAAAAAATAAGACAATATCTCCTTCAAAAATGCCTACAAATTGTACATATTTTAAATGTAACGTCAAGCGGATTGATACATTTTTGACGTAAGTCATTGTGATGTAGGCAACCCAGGTTATACAATTTATTCTAATTTTTTTTATCCAATCACGATTTACAACCAAAATTAAATTATTATCCCATATGAACGCTTCCGTCTCAATTTTGACAATAGCAAATTAAATAAATTTTGACCACAGTATCTTGAAAGAAAATGTCATCTGTCTGATACGTTTTGATCTTGACTGCTTAGATGATAGCAAGTAAAATAACCACACACTATAAAATTAATGAACATTCAATTTGGAAAACAGGGGGCATACAACTGTTCTGCAATTACAAATTTAATATGAGTTAACCCCCTTTAAAGACAAATTGAAACATGGGGGCTTGAAGAATAAGATGCAAAAGTACATTTTCTAAAAGTTATCCCCCTTTTATAAATAAAACATACAAAACCTTAAAACTTGGGGGATGAGGTACAAAACTTTGACTAAAATTTGTAACATTATTGATTAAACCTTGATAATTAAGCATAAAGTACAAGTGTTTATGTATTTTGAGATATAATGCAAAAAGTGATGAATTTGATATTCTGGGACAGAATGTAATAAATATTGATCATAATTCAGATCAGAGGTTGGTTTTACAGGAGGAAGAATGGTCTAAGGATGTAATACTACCAGAGAGTCAGGAATTGTTAGGGGGACGGACACCTTTACAGATTGCATGTGCCAGAGATGACAATTATAAGGTATGATTTATATAGAAATTTATGCTCTTTATACCTGGTCTTTGTCAGATTGTATTGTAACTGGTATGGGTATGTTTAACCATCTGGATGTTTATCTTTTAGTTTTTCCATATCTGTGTCATATCTTTCACAGTATGAGGCGTAGGACTGTCAATTCTTCTCAGTTGATGGAGGAGGGGGGAAGTATGTCATAACCCAAAAATAGGCTGTAGTGACTTCATTTTGAAATTTCATGGCCATATATACTCAGATCATGATCCGGTTCATATCTATCTATCTATGTTAGATTGTTTGATCTTGATTAAGAATTTGTCAAGGTTGTATTTTTAACATAGGGAGGGAATAAAGATATATTGTGTAACAAAATTCTAGAAGTCCTGTAAAATTAGAAATATGGTCATTGTATTCTTGACTTGACCGGACTTAAGATTTTGCTAAAAATCATTATTGATTGTTTAATGACACTGTCAAAAATGCCCTTTTTTTTTATTGTTGACAGAATGCATGCCGAGTTGTCCATCTGCTTTTGGATCACAAAGCTAATCCAAACCTTTTATGTAATGGTTTTTCTGCACTGGCCCTGTCCATTGCTAGTGGTAATGACCTGGTAAGTCATACCCAAATTATGCATTTTGAATATCCTCGCTGTAAACAGTTTGTATTATTAGCTCACCAAGTGAGTTTTTCTTATCACCTGTCTGTCTGTTAACTTTATTGTTTTTTGGTCAGCTGAGTCACATTGATGACCATGCAGCTGCAATCTGTTTTTGTCCATCGATGTGTACCGTGTCTTTTGCATTGTGTGTAGTGTACATGTCATGCGTAAAGTTTTGAACATGGGATCAGTTGAAATAAATGTAATACTATACTGACTAGTATTAAAAACAAGTTGAAAGAGTTGGCACCTAAAAGAATTGGCCTGTCTCCACAAACATTTGCATTGGCACTTACCTAGCACCTGAATTTTAGATATCGTTTTGAAGACTGAGTGTAATAATGAACACAGGGCTCTAATTGGCGACTAATTTAGTCGCCATGGCTCCTAAAAATTTTTATTTGCGCCTAAAATTTTTCCATGTCACCAAATTGGTGACCATTTTAAATTAATTAAATATGTGATCATCAAATTCCAGAAGTTTTAACATTTTTAACAATTTTTATTTTTCTGAAGAAGGGAAAAGAAATTTAAAAGAAGAGGGAATTATTTTTAGCAATGGACATGTCATGTTTTCTTAGTCACCTTTTTGTTCTTTAGTTAGAACCTGGTAAGTCATACCTTTCACGTCGATTTCACGTCGCGTCAGTACTCACAGAGGTCAGGTAGACTAGATAAGACAATAACTGCCCCAGATAATTGTTGGCTTCAGAAAATCGATAATTAGACGGACCAGTGAAGTGGTTATTTAAATGTTTGCCAATTAAATTCTCACTCATTAGAGATATCGTCTACATATAAGTGATAGTTCGTTCTTGTACAGACAAGAATGTTAAACGTGTAAACAATTCTCAATATAATCATAGTTTTAAAGAATATTTCATTCAAACCAAGTTTCTTAAAAATAAATGATCGATTTAAATTTTTTTGAATATCAGAGTTTTACATGCATGCTTAAGTTAAAGATTGCATTTAATTGACTTATATTTTTTGATAATTATTTTTCTTTATAATTTTTAAAAAAGATTTATATTAATTACATGTGGTAAGTTAAAAGATGGGGGAGAGGTGTTCAATCAAATATAAATATTTGAAAAGCAAAATCAGTCTTCTTGTTTCTTGTTTTACAATTCTACATTGAACATTAACAAGTTAATGTATCTCCTGCATATTATCATTCCAAACATTTTGGGGGGGAGGGGAGATACTCTTGTCACAACCACTTTCAAAAGAAGAGGGGGCACTAGACACTCTCTACCCATGAGTGCCCCGTCATGGGTCCCTATATATTGATTACAGCTAGTACTATTAACTTTTAAAGTTGGTGCCTAAAAAAATCATCTTGCGACTAAAAATTTGCAATGGCAACTAAATTTTTTTGATAAGGCATCAGACGGCGCCTAAATTTTAGAGGTCACTTAGAGAGGCCTGTAACAAGAAGAGTGTGTCCTTAGAATAAAGAACTTGGCCCTCAGTTTGGAGCTTGTTGATCATCTGTTGAAGTGTTGACCAATATATTGGTTCTTTTTTAATGCTCCTGCCATGAAATGGCCAGGGCATACACATGCAGCATTACCCCTTACCGCCAGTCATTCTCTCATTCCATTATAGTTAGTTTTCCAGACTTTTTATGCTATGCTCATAGATAATGAGCTGATTTTTGGTATGTATCTTGATATTGATGTCTTACAGAATAAGTTCAATTTTCCCTCTGATTGAATCATTTTAACAAAAGTTATGGCCCTATAGACTTGAATTTTCCAAAAAAAAAAATTATGTTTTTGTAGATAATGATATTTGGTTTGTCTCTTTATATTGATGACTGACAAATCATATACGAGATTTGCATTGATTAATTCATTTTTACTGAAAAAAGTGACCCTTTGAAATTTTAATCCTCACTGTTTTTAGGTCTACTGGTCTGTTCTGTTTGTCTGTAAACAATTTTTCAAAATGCTACTTGTCCTACAGTTGTGGTCCGATATCATAAATCTTTGGATGGATTTTTCGATTTGGATGAACAGCATTGCCATGGGTACTTATTATAAAAAATTCTGTCAAATTCTTTCAAAAAGCTACTTTTCCTACAGTTTTGATCCAATTCTAATAAAATCTTCAACACAAGTAGACTATATAGAGGATATTCAATGTTTTGTTACTTAAAATAGACATTCAAAGAATTTCTTTCAAAATGCTACTCCTTCTAGTTTTGGTCCATTTCAGTAAGACTTGGCTAGGTACACAAGTAGACTTCACTAAGACACATAATCCTGTATATTGGTTTTTGATTTTTACAAACAGTGTTATAATGGTAACTAATAATAGAAATTTCAGTGAATTCTTTCAAAAGGCTATTTCTTCTACAGTATATGTCTGATTGCAATTAAACTTGACACAAACGAGACTAAACCAAGCAAGGATCATTATGTTATTTATTGCTGTTGCCATACTTTCAAGTCCAAGTGCTACTTTTTCTCTACCTTTGTTAAGTAAAAATCAGTAGAGCTACAGTCTAGTTAGAGACCTTGAGTAGGTTTTTTTCACTGCTTTATTCGTAAGTGATCACCATTTTATGCAGCATTATATGATATGTTGTGGTATAGAAAACTGATTCAAGAAATTAAAAGCAGCAATATGGTATTTCATTTTTGTCGGTCTCCATCCATTGTTATTTTCACACTCTTAAACTTTCACATATTTAAAACTTGCATAACAGCAGAGGCATTTGTGTCATATTGACACATCTAGTTTCATATTTTCTTGTTCCAGGCTATTGATGAACTTTTAGCTTACTACTGTGACCCGAGTTTGGCTCTGACACATGGAGTGGGAAGTGCTTTATGTGCTGCAACATCTACAGAGTATGAATACAGGCGTAAAAATATAAATCAAAGACTTCATCTTGTAAGTATAATGTAGAATTTATTGTGAAATGTATTGAGATGTATTGAAATGTATTTAGAATGCTAGCCTGTTATGTGTACTGCAGTATGGTTTTATTTATGTTTATTTTTTAAGATTGATAAATTAGTGAAGGCTGGAGCCAACATTTTGTCCCCTATTCCTATAGGACCCAAGAGAATAATAGGAACTGCTGTGGATTATGCTTACTACATGTTTAATCAGGTGAGATGGAGAAATTATCTAGAGATCAGAAGTGCAATAGAGCATGACAGCAAGTCTCACAATTTTACTCTCTACCCCTGATTACAATGTATTTTAGCTCTAATTGTGCTGCGCATCCAACAAGGTTAAAAACCAAGAGGGGGCACTATAATTATTCTGTCCCTGCAGTCTTACTATCCTGGAATGTTTGTTTTCTTTGTAGGCATATGTATGAACTATAATGATATAATACTAGTATACATATAAAATATAAATAGCCGACCACTCCTAGATTTATTTATACTCTTAATGGTGCTATAGCAGGTGACACATGCCATCCATGGAACACTACCAATTTTTAAAAAATTCATGTTACTTCATACATCTGTATTTTATATTGGAATGCTTTAATTCATGAGTTGTACAGTAATTATGATTTTGCATGTGTAATAAGAGCATGGATGATGATTTTTATTTTTTTTCTACTACATGTACTATGCTGCAAGCAAGAATCTTTAATATTTAATATTGTTCTGTATCTTTATTTCTTTTAAATTTATTTTATGCAATTTATACTGGTATGCAATAAACTTATTTATGTGCACTTCACATATAGGATCGTCGTATTTCGCACATGCCGTTTCACGCTCTCTCACACAGTGAGCGGGCCACATATCAGGCAAGGAAAAAATTACTGGAGCATATTGGTAACATTTTAAGAACTAAGGCTGTTGAGCGAGAGAAAATGCGCATGGATGAAGAAGTCAGTTCAGGAAGAAGAAGTAAGAATGTTTTTGTGAAAATCAAGTGTCTTAAGATTTCTCACTTTATAAAGGTTGATAGCTTATGAATCTTATTAGTATTTGTTGCTTTATTTCATTGTCAACTTTTTTTAATGATAATAACATTCAGCATTGGTCCATTTTCAGTTCTGTAGAATAAAACATTTTATATATTACTACTTATATTTAAGGATGACCATAATAATACAAAACTTTTTAAGTTTACATGGTATTAGGATATGCAACAATCAGATTTATAGACAAGTTTTCATTATTCACTTTTATTATTTTATAATGATATAATTAGAGTTGGTGCTGGGATTCATTTTTGACAAGTTACACTGAACTATTTCTAAATTGTATATATTAAGGCCTTAAAAAATTAATAACTTGGTTTTCAGGCCCGCCATGATCTCATTTAACAATGCGTTTTACCCATTGTTATCTTCAATTGAATAAAATAAAATTTCTGTCCTGCACTCATACAGGGCAAAAAAATGAAAATTTGATTTCTAACTCAATGTTGAAGCATTGTTGATTAAAAGTTGCTGGTTTTTGAAATTAAAAAAAAAAATTTAAAAATCCAGCATCTGTTTTTTATGAGGTAAAAAGGGGAAAAAAAAGCTTCCTTCTCAGATTTGTTTTTGACAAAACTGGCCTAAGAACCAAATTATTAATTTTTTTAGGCCTTATTATGGATGGTAAAGATCACAATAGGACTATATACACTGAAAGAAAAAAGAAACACATTTCTAAATATATTAGCCAGGTTAGCAATTATTACTCTGCAAAACAATGATAGCTAAATACAATCAGATGTAATAAAGTATAACTCACTTCAGAGGAATTGTAATATAAGGACGTCTTAGTTATAAGGAACTTAAATCTGTAAGAGGTTCATACATACATGTAAAAGATTGAACGTCCTTTACCAAAGGAATATTGTTGATGTCATATTTTCCACCATCCATACTGTGTAGTTGATTTATTAAGGGTCTGTTTTCATCCATTGTAATGTGATGTGCATTGTGCTTCCTTTCTTAGTCATAATTTTTTGAACATTTTCAGCTTCTTTTCTTGAACCACAGAACCAATTTCAACCAATTTTGGCATATAGCATCAATGGGTGAAGGGGTAAAAAAAAAATCAAAATTAATGCTATCTTTAAAAACCTTCTTTACTCCTAGGCATCAAGCAGTCAAACTGTTGGAGTGATTGTAATAAGCATTAACTCTCTACCAAAGTTATGAATTTCATGGCCTCAGAGTCTGAGTTTCTGGAGTTATGATCATATAGTGAAAAGGGTTGTGAGTTCTGGTTGGGGAGGGACTCTATTGATTATACAGTAAAACTTGTCTAATCTGGCCACCATTGGTTCCAAACAAATTGGCTGGATTAGACAACATACCTTATTAGACAACATTTTAAACAATTGAAATTACTGAAAGGGACTTAAAGTATACATCCTATTAGACAAGATTTTGGAATACACAACATCCAGATTAAACAAGTTTCACTGTACATTGAAAATGCATTATTTCTTTGAAAATCTCCTTCTCTCCAGCTGAGTATTTAGCAAACATACTAAGTACTTAGTTATGATGAGCAAGGGTGCCTCTTCCAAAATTGTGAATTTCCTTTGCCCCTGGGTCAGGGACTCTGGTGTGAGGGTGGGGTTCTATTGATTATATAGTGAAAATACATTATTTCTTTGCTCCTGGACATCTAGGAGGTAAACAGAGTACAAAGTTGTAATGAGCAAGTGTACTTTTACCGAAGAGCTATATGTGGTATATGCACGTTTTTGCCCCCACAAAAGTCAAATTATGAAAAAACCTTGAAATGTACTTAATTATATATATTGTCTGAAAAACCTGAATAAACAAAAAATATTACAGATTTGAAGTAGGATATTGGTAATTTTTGTTTCTCTGACATAACAAACTATTTGGATTTTGTGTCATTTTTCAGAAAGAGGACAAAATGGACAAAATTTGTTCAACTTTTACCGTATTATTCATAGAGGGCAGATTTGCTCCACAACATAATTCACATATTTCATTGATATTATCATTCTACACATTATATCAAAACATTGAGTCAGAACAGACATGCGCTTGGTGACTTTTACTCAAAATATCGATGTAATACACCTTTTTCTCTATAAATCACGGAAATTTTGAATATACATCATACGTCATTTTCCAAAAGCCATATCTAATGTATGACGTCATGACTGATGAATATTTTTTTTCATGTTTTGAAGTCTGCAGATAACCCCCCCCCCTCCCCCCCTCCGCCAAGTTTTAAACATAATTATATATTTCTCTGCAAAGTTTGATTTTGGGGGCAAATATTGGTCATTACAGAATATAGTGTTTTGTTAAATTCTGGACCACTGGGTCAAGTTTTCTAATGCTGGGCAGGGCTCTATTAATTTGTATTCTACTGAGAGAAGTTATTGCACTTTACTATTCACCTATGATAATTAATCACTGTTATGTAATATAATTAAAATGTCAATTGCATGAGAGAATTATACAAGAATTTTTATAATATATCATGCAAAAGTACTTTCATAATATTTAATGGTCAATAATAGATAAATAAAATTGAGACAAAAATACCTTATCTTTAGTACATTTAATGTTCCTAAAAGACCAAGAGAGGCCTATGTGAGTGGGAATAAGATGGGTTTGCTCAAGCACTATTGTTTTGTTTAGGCAGCCTGGTGATAGTGACAAATGGGTGCAAGTACAGGCAAGTAAATAGGATGGCTGTAAAATTTAAAATTTTGCTGCTTTAAAATTTATTACTGAATACTAGACTATTTTGTTGATCCCTGATCATCCTATTTCTTACTTTTGGCCAGCATAGCTTCATCTATCAGTTTATTTTATTCTTCTATGGATCCTTTACAGTGTTGTATTATACTCAGGTGACTGTTAAGGCCTTTGGGCCTCTTATATGAAAATGCAACTAACATACGAGTTCATGTCAAATCACAGTTTAGATGTGGTGGATCTTAAGAAAGAATGAATCTAAAAATGCAACTAAGTATACAACTGAGCTCAACCAAACAGTCGTACCATCAAACACCAAACAGTCATACCATCAAACATATTATGTTTCTTTTTTTCTTCGAGTATACATTGAATATAGATAGAATTTCATGTATTTCAAAGTTTAATGACAATTTAACATTTAATATTTTACTTTAGATATCTGAATTCATTCAAAAGTACTATGAAAATGTATTTTAACCAATTAAAACTTTATCTATTACTTTTATTGATTCTGGTATAGTTGATCATAATATGGAGCTTTTTCATTGGCTGATTATAGGTAGAAGTCCTAGCCCAGGGTTTGTCTATATTGGAGCAGGTGCCCCTCTACCACCTGATGCTAAAATTCCAAAGTCTCTCAAGAGAGTTGACACAGGGGAAGGGGAAATGTCTAAGGTCACCTTTGAGTCCAAGAATCCCATTGTGGGACGAGGTTATCCAGAACGGGAACCAGCAAATTTACCAGCCAGGTAATATTACTCTCAAAGAGATGCTGTTTCCCATGTATTGATATTGTATGTTCTATGGAAAGCACATTGATTTAGAGATCCCTTTCCGCAATGCACGAACCCTTTATCAAGTCTAGGTGGCCTCTGTTTTTAGAGGATAGGCAAATTTGATATGGCCTTCAAACACTTTACCTTGTATGGAAATTTGCAATGCATTATGGGTGAAATTTTCCTCTGATTCTGAGAATACAGGTACTTGTGCCTACTTTTAGTGGAAGAGTGCAAGCTATGTAGTGCACATATTAATGAAAGCTCAAACATTAATCTTGTATGTGACATTTTGACATTCTTATAATGTCTAGATCTCATGTAATTTATTTTCAAAGTTGGCAATTTTTGCACTAATTTATTACTATGTTTAATTTTTGCTTTATAAATTCTTTTTTCCTTACAAAAAGAAAAAAAATGTTACTTTTGATTTTTTCCTGTAATTTCATGGTAGCCTAATGGTAGGGCATTTGCTCCATGATCGGTAGGCCTGGGTTTGAGTCTCGTTTGCCAAGATATATACATGTATATATATATATATATACAATATTACACAAATATTGTAATATTGATATAATACCTGCATTTATCCAGCAGTTTTCCAGCATTACATGTGGTTATCTCTCTTATTTGTTTTGTAAGGTCTTATCTGTTATTTGAGAAAACAGCATACAGTTTTAAAAATGCAAGAGTTTCTGTTCTTTGGTTGGTTAAGAGTTTACTGACCTTTGTTTTGAAAGGTTCATCAGATGGCAATGCTGACAATTTCAGATGAATTCCATCCTCCAAAAACAGAGACCACCTGGACCTGTTTATATCTAGATTGCACAGATTAAAGAAATTTCAAACATTATATATCATTTAGCAAACAAATTGTGAGGAAATGGGGGTATATGAAAATCATCATGTATCTGTATCTTTTTTGTTCATCCCATTTCAATTCAAAGCTTTAGTTTTAGATGGAAAAACATCAGAAGCTCACACTTGGCAAAAGGTTACCTATGACTTAAGAGTTTGCATTGATCCTGACATAAATCATTAAAAAGGTCAAGGTTATAAGGATCTAGAGTTTTAAAATAATTACAAGATCTTGTCAAGCAAAAATTTTGTTAAATGGGCAAAGGGGATGCCGATGATATTCTGTTCCTTGATCCAGATCCAAGGTAATTTGGACAAGATAAAAATCATGAGATCTTTGGCAGGGTCAAAACTTTGCAATGTGGAGATTGTAAATGCTCTTGATTGTTGCATTCATTGCCCAGTACATAAATGAAGTCATCTACAGGGATGAATTCTTGCCCAAACCGTAACTTTGCAACGTAGAAGCTCCAAATTGACATGAAGTTTCCTCTTGGCCCTTTTTTACATCATGAACCTGAATCACTAAATGGAAGCATCATTTAACAAGGTCAAATTAAGTCAAGATTCTAATTTTTAAAATTCTTGTCAGGGCTTTAAATAACTTGTTAATGTGGAACCTAGTTATTAAGTTAGACAACTAGGGTTTCTCATGACCTGTATAAACCTACAGTGTAAGGTTGTGTCATATTGAGCAATATTAGATCATTAGAAAGAGATACTAAGGTTAGAAGATTTTGAGTTACTTTTCTGGGCTACATCGCATTGTAATATTAGAATAATAAATGAACATAGTAAACAAAGAGGCTGCTGATGAACAGAGGATTTGAACCAGCTGCAAGATTGTCAAGTCCACATGTTGTACATTGTATTTCTTAATATGTTTTGTTTTATGTTTTGTCTGAATGTGTATTTGAAATTGTGCTCAATTATATGAGTGAAAGAACAAGGTTCACTTAGGGCTTTTTTTGGCCCTGTGAATTTCTGAAAAACTGAAACTGCTTAGCTTTAGTTGACAATGCATTAAATTTCATTTAGACATTAGGTGATTGCGAATCTACCAAAAATGACGTAATTTTCTGGCTAGTCAATGCATTATGACGTCATGAAATGCGTCATTTTCCCCATATCCTGAACATTTCTACAAAAACAGCCAATTTTTAAAGCTATTTTTCGATATTTAATATAGAGCGCAATCTCTGATCTAAAATATGCAATTATTTACTGATAGAACCGTTTCTGAGGATTACAAAACATGTTTTATTTTTTAGATCAGAGGGTGCGCTCATATTATTTTTCTTCTCTGAAAGTACTTAAATATACCTCTTTTCCTTAAAATTCAAGAACATTGCAATTCCATAAAGCTTGTTTTCGAAGACCTTGACTTTAAGGAGAAAAAATTTAATAGGAAATGAAAGCACCAAGTCTCTACTTTATCTTGATGTTTAAAATGGAACATAAGGTGTTAGTCAATAAATTGGTATATCTACAGGGCCATTTTGTGCATAAAGTAAACCTAGCTCTTTCCATATTCCCAAGTACACATGAATATTTGCACATTAGTTTAACACTCAGCTTTGCATTCACATGCCAGCCTTTTTCATGTGGAGGAAATTGATGTGGTACGCTTCAGTGCTTCTGCAAAAAGAAAGGCAGCCTCAAAAAATCAGCTCATGTCAAAAAATAAATTCCTAGTCAGGTTTGAAGCCACAAATATGCTATCACAGCTAGGTTTCTGTCTTAGCCAGACATATTGAATTTGAAGTCATCCTGAACCATATACTAGCTGTGTGAGAAAGGGCTAGGTGTTATTATCAGTTTATTGAATTGATGTTTCTCATTGAAATTATATTAATACTTGACTTCCTTTTACTCAATATGTCTGGTTACAACAGGAAATAGGATTAGATTTGACTTCAAAGTCATCCACTTTCTCTAAAGTCTTTGCACCCAAGTTGTGGGTGTATAGGGAAAATATGGAACAAACTTTCTTTTAGTGTGATCTGTAGACAATAGATTTCTCTTGGTAGTGGTATATATATATTCATTTTATTTTCAAGCACACTCATGAACTTTTATAGATTTAAGTCTCTGCTTGTCCTAGCCCAGGGATCTAGATGGGCAATAAATTCAAATTAAAAGGAAGGTTTCAGTTATCTATACACATACTCACCAATCCCCTATCCTTACTACTCACCAAGTTATTAACTAGTGGGAAGGAGAAATTTCAGACATTTGTGCAATTGTTACGTCATATTCAAAAAGTGGTGTAAGTTAAATGTGGATCCTTAAAAACACCACAAAAATTCTTTTGGATAATTTCAAATCTCAAAATTTTTCAAACATCAGTAGCACCAAAACATGACTTCTCTGTGCTTTATACAATCATTCAGCATGATAAATTAAAGAATTTCAAAACTTGTCCGTTACATTCCTGAGTTATTTTCTACTTTCTTTCTTTTCATATTATCTCCCTTTGCTAAACAAAGCAGATAGTCTGCATGACAACAATGCAGTTACAGGAAAGAAGGAAAGAACTTATTGTACATATGTTAAATGTTTGTCTTTGAGATAACTGGTATGAACAATAGAACTGTGAAGAAATGTTTTTATGCTACCAAAGAATTGCTGTTAATTTCTCAATTCTTATGAAACTAATGCTTTAGACACTGAGTGAGGACGGAATTCTTTCAATATTAAACAGTGGTCAACAGACTCTTCCAGATTTTACAGCCTGGTGTTATGCATGGTCAGATGTGATACATATATACATATAATTATACATGTTAGGTTTGAAATTCAGATGAAGAGATGCGAAAATGAAATCAAAAATTTCGGTGACCTAGAAAGAGTTGTCAAGGTAGTATTTGAGTAGCTTCCCTTTATATTTACAAACCTTAAGATATCAGCTTACCAGGCAAAATTCAAAGTACATACATACCCATTGGGATATAGCAAAAATTATAACGAAACTTGTGAGTTTTTTTGTGTGTTATTGTTAGAAGCAGCTGGTAATTTGAGAATGTTGTTTGTTATGTATTACTCCGCATCTGAAAATTTAGGTCATATATTTTCATGTTGGGCAATCATTCATTCTCATGTTAAATATCATCATTGAAAGAGAAATATTAAATGATAAGGAATAAATCTTATAATTTTTTTTTATCAATGTATTAAAGAAAATGTGTAGCGCATTGATGAAAAAGTTTTCTGTCCAAGTTCCTTTGATACTTCGATCAAAGAAAAAATTATAAGATTCATTTCTTAAATAAAAATGGAACCCATAAATCTTCATATCTTGTGATTGGTCATCCACAAAATTACTTTGTTAAAAATCACTCGGATTCTACATACAAGTACTCTGAAGTTGATGTTAAAAAGATGCTGGATTTCCTCATTGACAATATCAATGTAGTCTTTGGAGACCAGGTCTTCCAACAATCTGTTTGAATTCCAGTGAGCACTATTTGTGCTCCTTTATTAGCCAACCTGTTTTATATTCCTATAAGCAGAATTTATTCAAAAACTTATACATGAGAAGAAGAAAGCACTTGCTAAGGCCTTCAATTGGACATTTAGATATACTTACAATGATTTATCAATTAACACTTGTTAATTTCATTCATATGTCAACTCAATATATCCCAGCAAACCCGAAATAAAAGACACCAAAGGGTCTCCCACATCTGTTTCATATTTTATTAGATGTTTCATTGAATATAACAATAATGACTATCTAATTACTAAACTGTATGACAAAAAGGATGACTTCAGCTTTTCAATCGTCACCTTCTGTTATTTATGTTGTAATATTTGAACATCACCTGCATTTGGTGTTTAAGTCTCCCAACTGATTCAATATGTAAGAGCGTGCTCTGAGTACCATGAATTTTTCATAAAACAGAATTTTTCAACCAAGGCAAGCTATTGACATATAAGTTGAGGTCACAAGGATTTCAACTACCTGGTTTATAGTCAACAACCCTGTTTATACTTTTCCCGAATTCTTGTTTGTAAATATGACTTACCATTGGTCATTTTTTGTCTGACATGTTTCATACCATTTCTTAGGTCATTGTCTAAATTTGACTACAAAGTATTCCGTATTCCTGAACAATATATAGGGCACACAGTGGGTGTGACTGGTCAACAGGGAATGTTTACTTTTCCTCCTAGACACCAGTTCTGGTGTTTTTTCCCTGTTTGATATTTTACTGGATTTATGAGGTTGATCACTGTTTGTTATCATCACCTTTTTCATTTTATGTTTCTCAGGTGAGCCTCATGACTTTTTATCATTTTGAATAAATAGACAAATTTCATTAGTGTCTGGTTACAGTTAGCAGATATATTTCATATTACCTATTATTCCACTGATGAAGTGATTGTTTGTTTTGCTTTGGTTTTTTTTTTTTTTTTTTTTTTTTTTTTTTTTTTTTTTAACTTCTTGCATATATAGTGAATTAAATAGCTAGAATAAAGTTTGTCATAAATGCGATATGATTTAGTAGGAACTTAATGTAGTGTATACTTTCCTTCTTGATTTCAATAATAGAGTATATAAATTAGTTAAAGAGGGATTCTTCTCACTTATTGCTTATATTTAAAAATCAATGAAATTTTCACAGAATCAAGAAGACAATATCACTAAGTGATGGTATCAGTTAGATTAAATTTGACCATTTTATATTAGAGGCAAGGTCAGGTCAAGGTCAGTGCCTTTTCCCTGGACATTAAGAATAAAAAATTACTGTTGCCAATCATGCGATGCCTACTTCTATTTCAATGAATTAAATGTTTTCCTTTTTGCATAAAGAAATATTACCATATAGGGTCTATAAGATAATATTACCAAATTGACATAAATAATTTAACTAAAATGGATAGTGGCTAATCAGAATTTTCTCTTTTTTTCTTAAAATTTTAAGATATTTTAGTTATTTTCATATGCTTCCTATATTTAAATTTTTCTCATTTTCACATATGGTAAAGTTGTCACATAAAGATACAAAATGATATAAAAACAAAAAGTTTTGACCATTTACTAAGAGAGAAAAAACACTTTTTACGGATTTTTGGCTCAAATCTGAACTTAGATTGGAAGCTTTTAAAAGCTAACATAATTGTGGTTTGTTTGGAAAATCATATTTATTTGATATATTTTAAAACTTTAGTCCATTATTATTAATTTAACTTACATTTAAAAATTTTCTCCAAGTCTTTGATTGTGTAAAATTATAACTAAATTCATTGTTCTATAATTATTTTGGGAGGCAGAAAAGAAGATATTTTCATACGCCACCATTCTGCCAAAAATACAGTCCCTGCTAGATTTCAAACTCAGTTTACCATTTCTATTTAAAGTTGTACAATTGAGATGAGGAAAGAAAAATGTGGTCTTTTAAATCTCTTACATATAAATATATAAATCATATAAGCAAATAAACTTTGAATATTTCATCTAGTCAGAAACCAGACAAGAATCCCTCCTTAAATCTGAAGTGCATGGAGCCAGCAATGAGTTGAACTTAAATTTAACTGAGAATCAAGGCATTTTGTTTCAGCCTAGAATTTGTCCGACATGGTTCACTGACTTCACTTCAGAGCTCTTTTCACTGGAATCCTCTGCACGTAACTTTTCCTGTCTCTAACCTAACCTGAGTTTGTGTATTCACCCTCATCTGATCAACAGGGTCATGCTGTTATGAAAAATATAATAATTTTTAGTTTGACTTTCTTAACCCAGTAGTGAATTTTGTTTCTTGTTTTATATGAGGCATTGTCTAGTATTATTGAAGTATTTTCTGATATCTTATTTAAAAACATTGATTAGAAATAACGTTAACTAAAAAATAGCTTTTTAAGTAGAATCACTTTAAATAAAATAAAAATTGTTCAAGAAAAATAGAATTTTTTATGTCCCACCATGAATGTAAGTAACAGACCACTAATACATTTCACATTGACAACGTTTTCTCACATAGCTTCTTCTCTAATTTTCATTGAAGGATGGGGTACTTTTCAACTGAAAGTTGTCAAATTAATATCTCTCACTGGTTAAAAAATTGAGGAGGCAAGTCAATTCTCAAAAACATGAAAGTAAAAGTAGGATATTTCCAAAATTTAGGGTATGCTCACATCAAACAATTCAATCCTGTCCTTTCAAAGATATCTCTAAAATGAAAATGGTTTTAAAAGTGGAAATTTCTGTTCTTCAACACATATATTAGGCATCTTTAAGATAATTAAGATGACCTATTTATTTTACCATATATGGATGTGTACTGCTTGCAAGTTCAAGAACTATTCTGTTTTAGTGCACTACTTTCTTCCCCTACCAATTCTAAAAATTATTAAAGGTATGTACCAAATTATTAAAGGTATGTACCATATGGCCGGCCAATACTCGCGACTTTACGGTACAAAAAATAAAACAGAAAATCCAAGGATATGTTTAGGCCAAATAAAAAAATATGTGTGGTTCCGGTTACCCGACCTTCCCTATTTTATACCCCCGACCCTAAACTTTTTTTTTGGCAATTTTCATATTTTTTCCGGAATTTCCCCCGATTTCCATCAATGGCTCCAGTTTAAGTTTTAGTTTCAGCAATGAAGGCCTCCTTGCAAAACATAGTGCAAGTGTTTAATAGTGTTAAATCCAAAGCAAGCTAGCATGTAGGTGTCCCCTACCAATAATGACTAGTATATTATCACACCACATCTAAATGCCATTTGCAAATCAGTGATAGGTATTATTTAGAAAAAATTAAGAAAATCATTTTGTTTAAAAAAAAAAAAAAAAAAAAAAAAATCCCTACCTACCTACCCTAATTTTTTTTTAAGTGTAACCGGAACCACACATATTTTTTTGTTTGGCCTTATAAATGTGAAAAGTCTTAAAAGCTTCTTAAAAAATTCTGTTATGAATTTGTTTGTCCCTTATTTGTTCCAAAGAAAATAATATAGCAAATGTAGCCATTTTATGAGATTGATCCTTATATGAATCAACTTTACAGGAAAACATCGACTAAGCACTTTGCACTTCGTGCTCAGTGGATATGCTTTTCTGTGAAGTTTATACATGCATATCCATGGATTGACTTCATTCAGGGGCTATATTTGTCTGATATCAAGAATTTACATTTTTGATACTAAAAATTCTTTTTATAGACATCAGAATATACCTCAAAAATATTAAAATGGCACCTCATAGTAATTAATGACAAATCTCTCTACTGAGTGAGCAGTATAATTATGAAGTGTTTGTTTTTTTAATTATTAATTGTTCTGGTAATGTCATTGTATTTTTTATGTTTCATGTATTGTTTGCTAGTTTACTTTAATATTCTGAAAGTTTATATTAACTATACATGTATCACTTAGATTTAGTTTTTTCCTAACATTTTATAAGCTAAAGTATTTCCTAGAATCTTTAAAATCTAGGGGAAAGAAAATATTTCATGGTGATGTTTTTATACATACCCATAAATTTTTAAAATATAATTTTACATGCATTTTAAAATATATGTTGGATTGCACATATTTGCAATCTTTGAAATAATTATTTATTATTTTCATAATAGGAAGCCATTGTTCAAATACTGTTATGAATGTGGCCGCTCTGTAGGGGTTCGTTTATCTGCCTGTACCAGGTGTAAAGAAGTTTACTACTGTGGAAAATCATGTAAACTGGCAGCATGGAAAGCCAGACACAGTGAGGAGTGCATAAGGGTCGGAGGTCAGTATCAGAGGTCAAGCTCATGCACATTTAAAAGCAAATTCGATTGATGTTTATAAATATTCATTCCTTGAAAAATTAGATTTTTCTCTCAGTTGATATTGAGTTGTAATCCATTATGCCATATGATTTTAGAAAGGGACATATTATGCAAGTTGTATGATAGCTAGGTCACTGGCAACCTAAAATACAAGTTTTATGCATTGAAAAGAAAATGTTTGAACATAATCTTTTTGTAAAAACATTGATTTGCTGATAAGCAAGGTATTTATACAATTGAATGTATGTAAATATCTACTATAGCTCCTAGTAAAATGTATAAGAAAAATACTTGAAACCAGGTAAGTAATCAAGGCATTTTCCATTAATATATGTATGTACATGTATAGATATCTTCAAATAGGTTTGCTCATAAATATGAGGCATTGTTTTGGTATTTATAGCCATTAAGTGATATCGCGTAATCAAGTTGATATGTAAATTGTTGGTATCACCCATTTTAATAAGTGATATCACCAATGCAAAATGAATAGGTGATATCACCAATTCATGTAAGTGATATCACCTATTCAGATAGGTGATATTATTCTATTCAATTCAAATTGGTGATATCACCTATTTGAATAAATGATATCACCTATTCAAATAGGTGATATCACCTTATCAATTTTGGCTCAAATTAAGCTTAACAATCTTGTATTATTTTAAAAAAAACGTCTTCCTGAAGACAATCTAGCTTCAATGCGAAGTAATGGATGAAATTTTAAAAGGCTTAATTTTGAAGAAAAAAAACCAACTTTGTTAGTATTGATTCAAAAATGATGATACTGATTTCGATACTCTTAAACATCTCTGGTCTTGTTAATTTTAATTTGATCCACATCCTCTACTATTTTTACATTGATCGATCAAATAAAGTGAAGATTTTTTGGCCCTTGGGTCAGATGTTCTGGTGTAAGGGTGGGGTTCTATTGATAATATAGTACAAATGCATTAATGGTATTAAATAATCCTGTCTGCTCCTTAGTGTTGAGCAGAAACACAAAGTGCATAGTTATGACGAGCAAGGGTGCTTCTTACAAAGTTTTTAAAACTTGTGATCCCAGGGTCAAGGGTTCTGGTGTTTCTTGGGGGTTGGGGGGGGGGGGGGGGGGGCTCTATCGATAATATAGTGAAAATTTTTTAAATTCTTTGAAAATCTTCAATTAAGTGCATAGTTATGATGATGAGGTTACCTCTTCCAAAGAAGATGGGTGAACAAGGCGAGCCTATAGTGCAACATACCTCAAGGTGAAAAATTAAATCTCAATTATGACAAAATTTTCTTTCTTATGTCATCCAACATTAATATCACATATCACAAACATGATTTAAATGCCGCTATTTATCAGGAGTTGTGTAGCATAGTGGTTAGCTTGTTTGTCTCTAAGGAAAATGATACTCAGGATTTTTTTGCTAGGGTTCAAACCCCACGAATACCACTTAATTTTTAAAAAGCAAAATAATTTTTACCAAGAAAATTTTCCTCAGAAAAGTTTTGTTTATCATAATTTCATGAATTTCAGTAATGAGAACTTTACTCTAAATGGTTACTAAATTCACAAATTGAATATGATTTTTACATATCTGAAGCTATAGACATTCTGCACGCCTTCTTCACCCATCTCCTTTGTGAAGTTCATGACCCTGGGTCATGGGTTCTGGTATTAGGGTAGGGTTGTGTTGAATCTGCAGTGAAAATATATATATATTTTTTCTGGGACAATCCTTGTATCTGCTTTCCTCTTCCTCTTTCATACCAAAACACAATTAGAACCTTATCATTAGCAAGAATCTCTAAACATAAAATATCACAAGTTTTAACAATCTTCTTATTGTAATTGTTTTCAAGAATTAAAGGTAAACACAGAATAATTTCTTTAAGATCCTTTACATATAAATATCGGTAGTTCCTTAAGCTCACTTTAGGCCATTAGGCTCCATTGAGCTTTTCTGATCAAAGAGTGTCTGGCGTCTTTCTATCCCTCTGTATATATCTGTCATTTGTTGTGTTTCTTCTGTAAACATGATGCATTGTCAACCTTGTCTGTATGAAAAAACAGGTCAATTAAAACAAAACTCACCACATACATGTAGCTTCTTTAGAAGAAGGGAATTCAATTTTTTTTTCATATGAAGAACCAAGCCTTCTTCCAAGGGGAGATAATAGAGAAATAGGGAAAATTTGGTGGGGTCATTGAACAATCTTCTTTTCAAGAACCACTGGGTAAGAAAAGATGAATTATATGTGAAAGCTTTCTTAATGCTTGTAAATTGAAGGTTGTTTAAATCATGGCCCCATGGGATAGAGTGGAACCTCAATAGAGGATTGAAGTTTTAGATGATAAAATATTGGAAAAAATCTTTAAAATCATCTTTGCAAGATCAGCAAGACTATACACTTTTAAAAACTTAAGCAAGGGATCATGTCGAAAGTAGTCTGAACCAGAAGTCTGAAATAAACATTACCCATTGAATAATTAAAGCTTTGCTTTATCCAATGGATAATATCCACCAAATGTATGAGATAAATGATTAATCAGTAAGTCTTCACTTGCTTATTCTGCATCATTTACTTGGAATTTTAACAATATGCCCTTCAATTTTAGTCAAGTAACTTAGAAGTAACTATTATATAAATATTGCATGTACCATAGAAAATTTTCACCCCAAGAAAACCATTATCAACTGAGGCGAAGCCAAGGTTGACAATGGTTTTTGAGGGGTGAAAATTTTCAATATTACACTCAACTACATGCAATATTTATTATATTACACTGAATGTTTTATACAAATACATATAACAGTGAACTTTGCGCGCATAAATTCTGCACAGTCACTATTTTTTTTATATATCACTTGTCGTCAAGCAATGTTGACTGTTGCTACGCTGGAGGGCGTGGCTTCATTATTCATCGGGTAATAGTGTTTTTAGCAAATGTTTCTTGATGAATCAGATTCAACTTATTTACAAGAAAGTATAATATCATAAAATATCTTTCTATCAAATGTTTGTAGCGTATTTTATGACGTAGAAAGTTTAAAGTCATATTAGCACCATTTTAAATGACATGTGGGTTTCACAGTTGACTAGTCTGAGAGATAAAACCTGAGATTTGACCTTTGTGAATTACCAGGTGTTGCATACAGTACAAGTATGTCATGGGAAGAAGGTAGAACAAAGCCGCATGTTCAGATTAACTGCTGGGTGACGTCTAATGGCCAAGGCAAGCTGGCTCTAACACAGTAGACTTATAGCTTCTGCTTCTCATTGTAGTCACACTGCTCTGCTATTGTGTGCAGTGGTGGTGGAGGGCCCACTCACCACATATGAAAATACTGCACCTCCTGGCATCAAGCCAATTTTTATACATTCTCTCTATTACTAATAATGATGTACACCTAAATAAGTTTAAATTCACTTCATTACATTAGATTTGGAATTTTTGTTTCCAGGCAAAAAGAAATGGGGACATAAGAAAAGTATGTGCTCACAAATAAATGTACAGTACGGCATGTAAATAGAGTAGCTTAGGATTTAAGTGCATACATTTTAGTATAAGAAAATTGTGTTGCAATGTAAAAAATTAACTTACAGCAGTACAAAGAAATACATATAGGATGAGCATTTCAATGTAAACTTATAGGTTCTCCTACTAATCCTGTCAATTTAGAACTCCGCTCAGACTTTAAGAGAGTCGGCATTGTAACCTCTGCTGTAAACATGATGACAGCCAAACGTAAGTCTGACTTCACCAAGGTTTGCCAGATTTGTTACAGAAACACTTGAAGATGACAAAAGCTTCAAATTAAGTGGCTAATTTTAATGGAAAAGGTTCTTACATTTTAACACACATTGCAAAATTGAAAATCTTAAATTGTTAATTATACTGAAAGAACAAGCTACTTAAATATTATTAATATTTCAAAATTTATGATTTGAATGTGATATAAACATATTCGTTTCTCAGTTAAATGATATGATAAACTGCTGAGTTGTGATGTTAGAGGTGTGCTTTTGTCATTGTCACTGATGAGAAAAACCAGTCACCATCACGTTGCAGTTGTAAGTAAATGATAAGAATATCAATATTTAGGGCTCAGTGTCACACCTTACCAGATAGGGCTAATGGACATCAAAAAGATGCCAAATTTTTCAATCTGTTCATCTTCGTTGGCATTCATTTATTGTCCATTTCTTTTTCTGTGAGTTAATGTTCGATGTCTTTTGAAGTTCATTTTATCCAACGGTAGATTTTGAGCATGGTCAAAACTTGGAATGGAAACTGCCAGACTAAGGTGTCTGCTTTAAGTGCAGTATGTCCATTTAGAGCACAGTAGGAATACATTTTATACAGAACTTGTGCGCTTTTTCTCCTGTACTTTAGCATTCTGGTGTCCATTGGATCCAATTCACAACTGGAAAATCATCAGTTGTTAAATAGATAAACTGGACGTGCTCTGGACACTGACTGCACAACCATTAGTCCAACGTTTGAAAACCATTTTGTCAGTTTCTCATCTATTGTGCATTCGTTTTACATGGTACTCATTCATTACTGAAATGTTGAAGTCCGTTAATTGACTGTTGCATGGATAGTGCATGTCTGATAATCAATACTAGGTTTTTGTACATTTTATACCCTACATACATTGATTGCAAGTGCATAAAATAAAGCTACAGGGCATGGGATAACTATCATTACCAGAAAACCAGCCATGCTGTATTGCTGTTTTTCATTCATTTGATGTCTGTTAGCACTATCCAGTAAGTGTGACAGAGCCCTTATCAAATCAGTTTTTAATTTCAATTTGTCAATCACTGGGTTGAACCCCATATACTACCTGGCTGCAAACACTGATGTTTCAAGGATCAAAAAGGTTTAATTATTTACACATTGCTGTGTTGCATGCTGAATATAAGGTCACATACAGTTTTAAGCACCAATATTGTATTTAGTTTTATTTTAGATTTGTAATATTTAGGATAATATCTTTCAGAACTGCAGGTGGTATCAATATTCCAATAATAATATATTACAATTATATTATAAATTATATGCTGACATTGATTTTGAAAAAGTGCACTTTAAACTGCACTTAAGATTTTACAGTATGTACCAGTAATTGGTATTCATAAACTATATGTGTAACTTCAGTAATGCTTTTAGATTTGGATTCTATTTTATTAAGATTAATTTAACCTTATGTATTTGCACTTGATTAACAACTGTGTGTATGTATTGTGTTTCTATACAGTATTTTGACATCACTTTTCATACACTGATAGTTCTAACTATATACTGTACATGTACATAAATTGACATATTCAAAATTTAGCATAATCACTGGGTATTGAGTGGTTGGCGTAGTCATGAATTCATGTAGTGTAATTATTAATGATTTATTAACGGTATTCATGAATTAGCACATTATTGTTCATACCAAAGCCGCTAAAATATGAAGCCCGCTTTTTTAAGTACACGTACAGTACCTTACTTGCCAAAATTATGTAATGTTGAACGAAAGAATAAAATTGCATTGAAACTAAAAGAAAGAATAAAATTGCAGTGAAACTAAAAGAAAGAATAAAATTGCATTGATAAAAGGATATATAATATGATTGTAATTGTAAATATTGTACTGATTGCTTCTAAAACTATAACCTCATATTTAAACAGGGCAATGCAGAATGGCTAATTATGTATAGATATGATTTTGATTCAAAAATATGTATGATTTTTTAGTTGCTTTTGAAGAAAAAATATTTTGGTCTGTAGAATGTATTCATCTTAATAATAATTGTTAGAGGCATTTAAAGTACTTGTTCAAATCAAGCAAAAGATTGTAAGTTTCAATCATCCATAGGTAAAGTTTCTCATCTTAACATAATAGTCTGAGAGTATATAACCTTTCCTTATTATATTACATGTATGTTATATTGTAATGTACAAATTAAACCTTACATTTTTTTCTCTTTTTTTTTGGGGGGGGGGGGGGGGGGGGGATGGGTGAGGGTTGAGCTGTGAAATGTTGATCCTTCTTCAATTTTATTTATTATTGAACCCCATTAGATTTCAATAACTAAGAGGAGGGGGTTAAAATTATTATGACTGTGAAAAGTTTAATTTTCTTTCTTTTTTTTGGGGGGGGGGGGATATATGGCTATGAAATATTCAATTTCCAGTAGTCTTCAGTAATCAAGAGGTATAGGAGGCTGTGTAATGTTGAGCCCCCTACAGTTTTTGTAGGTTTTTTTTTGGGGGGGGGGGGGTTAAGATATGACTTCAAAATATTGAACCTCCTTTCAGATTTATTTGGTGGGGGTCAAGATTTTATGGATATGAAATATTGACCCCCATTGACTTTATTAGTTAAGAGGAGAGGGTTAATATTAAATACTATGATTATGAAATATTGACAACCCTACAGTTTAATATTTTAGGGAATGGATGTGAAATAATAATTATTAAAGTCAATTTGGGGCTCAATATTTTGGAATCATAATGTCTTGAAACTGAAGAGATTCTTTTTAAAGAAAACAGATTCCAAATAGAATTGGGGACAATTTAAAAAAAAAACAACCTGACTGCCCCTTTGAAATTTTACATTGTACAGAGACTCAGCTTGTGATATTAAATTTACAAAACATTGTGAAGGGGGAAGAAATTTGTTGAAGCGAGAACAAGATTATGGGTGTATTTTCTACCAGTGTTCTCAATACTTTTTTGCATAGTCTCAGCAGAAAAGGTTAGAAGTCTGACTTTTTTACTGTTACAGATTTTTTTCCAGATCTTGTTTTCTGATATATTTTTTTGTGTTTATGTAATTCCTGATAATAGTTATTGTACTTCACTGAATTTTTTTTATTAATATATACAAATATCTAATGTTTATTCATTAGGGAGGTCAAGAAGTCCCAGCCCATCAGGACGTGTAGCCAGGAAAGACAGTCCTACTCCAGCCACTGAAGTGAAGGGGAAAAAAACTACAGTAGCAGACCTCACAAAGACCAAACAGGCAATTAATGTAAGAAATATCAGATGGTGATTTAATACATGTAAATCATTCTTATATGTGTATTCATTGACCTTGTCAGAATTTTTCCCTACCATGAATGCATGTACGGCAAGGGCATACAGTGTTTGTCAACACTTTGCATTTAGCCCAGCTTCTGAAGAATTGTTCAATAGATTTTTATAAAAATTCATTCACTGATACCCTGAAATGTATTGGTGGGATCATCATGTGACATGATTTTCCAACCTTATCCCTTCCTAACCAACAACACTGATTTCTTATCAAGATAATTTAACAAATATCATACAAAGGTGCATATATAGATATAAAAAGGATCTTGAAATATTGGCATTTTCTTTTTGGCAGATTTTCATTTTTAAGAAATATAAAATAATTGAAAGTATTTCCAAGTTCCTTTTTTGTTAAAAATATTTTACTTTTTACAACAATCAAGGTCTAAAGTAATTATGTGCCAAACTTCCATCCATGTGTGTCAGTCCCTATTAGCAGTGTGTTAACCCCTACCTGGGTGTTTAATTGTAAATGGGTTAATTGGATGTTTACATGTTACAAGTCACTTGCAATGTATGCATTTTGTTCATGAAAAAGTATGAAAATTATTCTTTGTTTCATCATATTTTATTGTTACCTGTAACCAAAGAAGTAAGGTACATTTCTTTATATTGCAATACAAATGTACCTGTCTAGCTGTCTGTCCATCAATCACATGTTATATCTTGAAAACACTGCACAAGTTGTTAGCAACCATGTTTACTGGAAGACTTTTTAATTATGATTATAATAATTTGTATGAGTGTATTTTATGTTTGAGTTTCGAGTGGGAGTAATTTCATTGTATTATATACTTAGTACATGTTATAACTACACCGATTCTGCACTATGCTCTAGTGATCTTGTAACTAAAGGAAATTTATACTATACTGATAGAAGTTACTTCCCTTTTTCATTCACCTGTGATAATTAATCACTGTAAATAATGTCAATTGATACTTCAATTAAATAAAAGAATTGTACAAGAATTTTTAATGTATAGGACAAAAAGAACTTTCATAGTTTTCACGGATGAGATGGACTTGAAAATAGTAGATAAATAAACAGGAGAAAAAATACCTTATCTTATACATTAAATATTCTTCAAAGACCAAGAGAGGCCATTCTGAGAGGGAACATGATTAATTTACTAGATGAACTACCTCAAGCACTATTGTTAAGTCTGCATGGTGATAGTAACAAATGGAAGTGTATTAGCATTGGCAAGTATTTGCTAATGAGTACTAAAATAATTATTTTGTTGATCCCAGGTCACCCTTTTTCTCTTGCTTTTGGGCAACATATTTTCATCCATCAGTTTATTTTTTTTACAGGATCCTTTACAGTGATATACTCAGGTGACTGTTAAGGCCCTTAGACCTCTTGTTTTTCTGTAGCAATATATCATCATCACCTGCATATGGGGTTAATGTCTCCCAGTTGATTCAATATACAAGAGCATGTTCTTTGCACCAATACTTTCTAAAATGAACCAGACTACTGACAAATAAGTTGATGATAAAAGGGTGTCTTTCTGTCTTTCATCAAAAACATTGATAAACAGTGATTAAATATTATTAATCAATTTATTAATTACTTGAAGGATTGATATTATACACATATGGATGTCTAGTCTTTCAGAGTTATAACAATTTTAATTTCTTTAAAAATATTTAGATGATCATATCATTACCAATATTTAGCTACTATTGATTTTATTAATTAAAGCATTGCTTTAAAACTAAATGGTACTATATATAACTCAAAAAAGTAATCACATCACAGGACAAGCTTGCTGCTAATGAAATCATAATATCCACTAATCTCATTTTAGCTAGTCCCCAGTCAATTCAATTCCCCATTCTTATAGCTTGTCCTCATTCACTTCAAGTCCTCTAGTCCTCAATCACTACAATTCCCTATTCCAGTCACTTCATTCCCCATTCTTATAGCTTATCTTCAGTGACTACTTAGTCACTACAATTCCCCATTCTTGTCCTCATTCACCACAATTCCTCTAGTCCTCAGTAACTACAATTTCCTGTTCCAGTGACTTCAATTCCCCATTCTTATAGCTTATCTTTAATGACTGTCCTCAGTTACTACAATTCCCCTTTCTTATACTAGTCCCCAATCACTTCAATTCCCCATTCTTATAGCTTGTCCTCAGTCACTACAATTCCTCTAGTCTTCATGCGGTCACTACATTTCACTCTAATCTCTATTCCTTTGTCACAGTTTTCTCAGCAACTACTCATTGCAGATGCTTGAAATTCTAGCACACTCTTTGTTGAGGCATGCCATATGGTGGGATTCATTTTTAGCTCACCTGAGCCGAAGGCTCAAGTGAGCTTTTCTGATCACATTTTGTCCATCGTCCGTCTGTCTGTCTGTCTGTCCGTCCGTCTGTAAACTATAATTTTTCAAGTATTTCTGTCTTGGAAAGTATGGATGCATTATTGATCCATTTTTTCTACAGTGACTATAAGTCAAGTTCATGACACACACTCGGGTCATAAACAATCTTTGGGTGAAGTTGAAACTCCCAACATCCCAACATTATTCTCAATAAGAAAGATACTGACCAAACATGAATTATGAACTTTTTCTCTCAGTGACCTTGACCTTGCCCAAATGACCTTGGGTCATGGTCATGACACACCCTCAGGTCATAAGCAATCTTTGTGTAAAATGGGAACTCACCAAGTTTATCCATAAGAAAGATATGGACTGGACACGAATTATGAACTTTTTCTTTCAGTGACTTGAACTTCCCCAAATGACCTTGATTCAAGGTCATGACACACTCTCAGGTCATGAACAATCTTTGTGTGAAGTAGTAGATTTTAATTAGGGCTGGGACGATACAACTTTTTCTATATCGATATGTATCACGATATTTGAGCCACGATACGATATGTATCACGATATGTGTAATTGGTTATAAAATCTTTTTTAGCATTGAAATAAACAAAATATTTCTTTGCAAAAAAAATAATTTATTCAAAATAGTTTTTTATATGTTGTAAAACAAAAATATTTTACTCAAGTGGTGTTAATTATTATTTATTTCATATCTATATTTATATTTTGCTTATTTATTTTATATATTAAACCCCTGGCCAAATGTTAAATAAACAGAGAAAAACAGCAGTCAGAATTTTTTTTGCGATATTTCGATATTTCTTCATATGTATCGATATGCGTATCGTCTACACAAAGAATCGATATCTCGATATATCGTCCCAGCCCTAATTTTAATGTTCCTCTGTAAGAAAGATATGGACCAGACATGTTTGCACAGACAGATGGACAGACAAGGTGATTCCTATATTATATCCCCCAAACTTCATTTGCGCGGGGTGGGGGTATAAAAACTTTAACCTTGGTCATAACTTTTGAACAGTTAGAATAAGGGCTTTTATATTTTGCATGTGTTTTTTGTTATGACAAGGGCTTCCACTTGGTACCATTAATTTTGACTTTGACCCTGGAGTGTGACCTTCTTTTGAAAAACTTTAAACTTCAGCATAACTTTTGAACAGTTTGTGTTAGGGCTTTATATTTTGCATGTGTACTTCTTATGACAAAGTCTTCCACTGTGTTACATTAATTTTGACCTTGACCTTGGAGTTTTGCCCACTTTTAGAAAAATCAACCTTGACCATAATTTTTTGAATGGTTGGTGCTTGGGCTTTAATATTTACCAGGTATATCTATGGACACATGTCCTTTCTTTAGGGAACAACATTTTTCATCTCTTGACCTTGAACTTTGACTTGCATTTGAGAAACTTTAACCTTCGCCATAAGCTGCTATATGTGGGCATCAGTGCTTCACAAACACATCTTGTTTGTTTTCGTTTTATTAAAGAAATGCTTGTGAAAATAAGACTGACAAAGTCTTAAGTTTTTTAACTATCTAACAGGCAGTCTCACACTCCAAGAAAAAAAGGAAGTGAAAAAAATCATCTCTTGTAAATTTTCAAATTATTAATTTCCATTTGCTAAAAGAAAAAGCTGCATCTTACCAAATTAAGGACACTCAGTTTAATGTCAGATAATATATATATGTACATGTATACAAAATTCCAAGTGATGTACAAATGGTAGGTATGTGAATATTTTGGAAAAATTACTTAAAATTATACGAATAGAATAATAGTCAAAAATATTCTAATATTGATTTTTGGTATTCATTTCAGCTCTAGTGTTTTAATAGATCAGACAAATCAAAAGCATAATTTATACACTGGTCAGAATTGAGAATGTTTGTATGTGTTTTCAGGTACAATAGTCAGGTCAGTGTTACAATCCGATTTTTCATTCGTCCCAACACCAATATTGAGTGAACCCCTTTCACAATCTGCTTTCACGTCACTAGCCCAAAGACTGATGTTTTAGTCATTTCAAAATTTGATTGTCACAGAGAGAATAATATTAATTGTTTGCATGTTTACTTATTAAAGAGAATATGGAAAATATCATAATATCTAGTGCTGGAGATCAATAATTTGTTGGATATTTCTATAGCCAAAAATATTTATGCTTGTATTTTGAAGAAGTAATGCTTTAGGAATTGTATTTTTGTATTTTGCAAAAAACCCTGCCAAGATTATTTTATCATTATTGTTGTAATAATTCATGCATGTATTTAATAGCTACTTGTTATACTAAATATAATGTATGCTGTTATACATTTGTTTTGTACTCACAGATGCTGTAAGCATATTATTTCAAGGTCAGAAATGAAGTCATTTATAAAAAGTTATACATTATGATACAGGTTCAACACTTCAAATTTTACTTTCCAGTGATAGAAAGACTGTTATGGCATATTTATTTGTCCCACAAGTATGAATGCCAGAAATCAATTTTTTGTAACTCACAAAAATTTTAAGAAATGGATTTTTATTACAATTTCACTATTGAAACGCCGATGTAGGCTCCAAATTATAGAGAGAGCATTTTAGGGGGGGGGGGGGGGGGGAGAGAGAGAGAGAAGAAATAGAGTTTGTTTTGCTAGCAAATGTGAGATTTTTAGAACTTAATTAAAATTTGATGCTAATTGTTGCATCATACATGTACAACATGGCATTCAAGAAGACATTAGGTATATGTTTAAATTTTAGATTTGAAAAATAAGATATTCATGACAATGAAAAACTTATTTGTTATTCTACTGCAGTTATTGCAAAGATCAAAGTAATGCTGAGGCCATTATTCTCCAATAAATAACAAATGTCATCAACAAATTATCAATAATTGTTTTCTTCTAATTTTGACTGCTCTAGCTAGGAAAAAAACTGAGGCCTCTTTTGATTGTGATGCAAATTAATGGAGAAAAAAGTTTACTTGGGATTCGGATTACCTCGTACTTTTTCTAATGCATGAAGTGCAAATAAACAAAGAGTGGCATTCATTTGTGATGTAATAATTAAGACACTTATGTTGATGTCGAAATCAAGCTTCTTTGTTTATCTATAAACTAAGGAATTTAAAAATTTGCCATAGCAGAATAGAAAAAAATTCCATTGTCAGAGGAATTGTTGGAGAATATACTTCTCAGTCTCAAGATTTTGTTGGCAAATAAAAACCTTGGGCACTGTTTTTATTTGCCAGCAAAATCTTAGGACTATCGGTGTATATTCTCAAACAATTCCAAGAAAGAGGGGGAGGGGCTTATTTGTGAAATAGGTTGCTTAAAGGGGCAAGGGTGCTTGATAGGAGGAATAATTAGTCTAATTAATTCGTAAATCATATTACAACCAGACAATCTAGTTTTCTGAAATATTTCCCCTTTTTCAAAAATGTAGTCAGGATCAGTTTAATATCAGTCCTTCAGAGGTAAGATCCATGCTATAAAATATGGGTTTGTTGAGTCTACCTACATGTAAATGTCCATTTGTTTACAGTATTTGAAAATTTTATTTGAGTGGTTTCTGTTTAAAAATTGGCTTTATTGTTTTACAAATTTGTTTGCATTTTGAATTCAGCCTGGATTATTGATGGTTTTTTTTTATCTGAGGCACTACTCACTTAAATTTTTCTCTTGTGGAAGTAGAACTTGCAGTAGCCAATTATTCCAATGTCAATTAAATTTTGTACTTTTGCCCGTTGTGAGAGACTTGGTTTCCAGATACAGTATAGATGCAGAATTATGAAATGAGGAGTGATTTCAAGGAATCTTGATATCTTAACAAAATAACCAAATTTAAAGCATTTTATAGGCAAGTTCAAGCAGTAAAGGAACTTTGATTATAGAGAAACCAGAATTTTTTTTTCTCTTGTTGAAAGATGATATAACCATTAATAAATATTTATTTTTTATCACAGGTGCCAGTAAAAGGAAACAGTAAAAGTGCTAAAGGAGTAAGAGGTGGACACAAAGAGGGGGACAGAAGAGTTCAGTCTGAGAGACTTTACCGACACTGGAGTCCCCCGCCTGGAGTTAAAGTGGACAACTATAGTTATGTCTGATGCTGTGTTTTATCATTAGATCTCAAACTTAACTCCTAATGCGAGCGTCACCTTATTTATACAGAGTTGCAAATAACATATAGAACCTTAGGGGCCATGTGGGCCCCCAACTTTACAAGTTTTAATAGCCCACATCATAATCCCTGAGAAATTCACTTTGCTTTAAACTTTCACTTTCCTGCAGATTTCAACATCAGTTGTAGGAAATTGCCATTTTTCCTTCACTTCAAGATGTCACAGTCATACTTTGACATGATTCAGAGTTTAGAAATCATTTTGTAGGTAGGAAATAGTGAAGTTGAAAGTGCATTTAATCAGGGTTGGCTGGGAAATACTAGTGGTGGGAATTACTAGTGGTAAATAGCGGTATTTCCCGTCCCGGTAAATACTACAAATTTTATCTAAACTGGTAAATACAAAGTTAAAAGTTTTTGTTTCTTTCATTCATTCAACATCATACAAAATTCAGGGAAAAAATAATACATAAAAACAGAAGACAAATAATATTGAATATGTCTCAAACTGCAATTTAACATATTCAGAGTGAATCTCTATGCCATGACGCATACCCATATCAAGCATTCTTGAGCAGTACATGTTTCCTTGGTTGGCAGCCGCTATATTTTAAGAACAAAACTCAAGTTTACTTATCCAAGTTTCTTTTCAGTTTTGTAAAGTTATTGAGTTTATTAATTATAAATCCAAGAACAAAATAAACTTATTTTAATTCTTCTATAAACACTGTAGTTATTACAATCAATCATGTTGTTTTAACAAATTACTCTTGTCAGTTTTGTGCTCCTACTTTGGGACATAATTACCTTGAGTAGAACTGAAAGGCTTCTAGACTTATTAAGTTTGATATTTATACCGTATTATACATTTAACAATTTCTTATATCCTTCTTAAGAAACTATAAAAAATCAAATGGGATCTTTAGGTTCATTTCATGGACCTTTATAGACAACATCTGACAAGCATGAAACAAATGACACTCATGACTGGTCTACAAGTGTGTTATGATTATATGAAAGAAAATTTTTCATCAGGGACAGTGATACCGATAAGGTGTACTACATCCAACAAATGTGATTAAAATTATGAAATATAAAGCTATATATGTAGCTAATTCTTATTTCCCAGTATTGCCCAGGAAATACCAATAATTCTTGGGAATTACTAGTATTTCCCACCATCCTGGGAAATATGAGTATTTCTAGGTTTTTTAGCCAACCCTGCATTTAATAGTAGAATCAAACCATGGTTGGTTCATGAATCAGTGAAATTAAAAGTGCATTTAATAGTAGAATTAAACCATGGTTGGGTTCTGGAAAAGTCCTGATAAAATTACTTGCAATTTGCAAGTGGGTGCCTTGTTATTTGCAACCCTGTTTATAGTTTATAAATTTCTGTTCATGTGTGCTGAATGTTGATAGCCTTTCTGTTGATATTTTTCCTTTTTGTCAGTTCCAGCTGGATCTGCAGGAGTATATTCTCTTCACTTCTTACTCAGCATCAATTCCTACAACACTATAGTTAGTCATATGTTCAATATTCATTATAGTTTAAAAAAGGGGTGGGGTATTCATTTGCATACGTGGTATTTGATAGATGAATTTATGATAAACAATTCTAGCATGAAGATTTCAATATTTTATTTTCCATGTATCTAATTTTCATGTACATGTATGTAAAAATCAGGTACTCATCGTTATTTACTTTTGGGTTATCAATTCATTTTTTTTTTATACTTTTGATACACAGAAAAGTCTGCTGTCTACCTATATTATGAATTATGAATAAACTGCTGACAAATAATGCATTGTGAACAAACTGCTGACAAATAATGTATTATGTACAAACTGTTGACAAATCATTACCTTTTTTGGCTCACCTGAGCCAAAGGCTTGCGGAAGCTTTTCTTATCAAAGTTTGCCCATCCTTCATTTCTCAACTTTTTACATTTTTGTCTTCTCAAAAACTAGGCAAATTTCCACCAAACTTGGCACCTAGTGTCCTATGGTGAAGGGAATGTGAAAGGTCACACTTCCTTCCAAGGGGAAATAATCAAGAAAAGGCAAAACACAGGTCATTTAGAAATCGTCTTCTCAAGAACAACAGTATTAAAAAGATGAACTCTATGTGAAAGTTTCTTTGATAGTTTATTTTTTAAAATCATGGCCCCCATGAGTAATGTGGGACCACAATTGGGGATCAAAGATTTACATGTGAATATAAAGTAATTTTTTTTTTTACAAAATCTTCTAAGGAACACCATTATACTAAGAGCCATTATTAGTCTTAATGATATGCAAGCATTCTCGTGTACTGCAGATTCAAGTTTGTTCAAATCAGTGCCCCAGGGGTAGGGTAGGACCACTGTAAGGGATCATATACTATAAACATATTACAGTTCAATGGTGGTGTATTCTATTTAGCACCTTTTGCAGAAGGCAGCTTCCACTAAATCAAGTATGTCCCAAAATGTCTTATAATTAGGGATGTCAACGAATAGTCGACTATTTGACCATCAGTCGAATGGACCGACGATCGAATAATGAAACGACATTCGAATAAATAAATTTCAATAAAGAGTGATAAAGAGATGGAATTCTCATCCTAAAATTGAGAAACCGGCCGTCTTTCCTCAGACACAGTCAATAAGATAATTTTCCTCATTAAAAACTGCTGGTTTTATATGTAGAAAGTACAGTAATTAGAAATGCTTCACTTCCGCGAGTATTATTTGTCAATTAATGTGTTGTTTTTGTAAAAAAAAATTTCTCGTTATACTGCGCTTTCTTTGTAAAATTATTAATTGGACTTGATCTCATACCATGTACCCATTATAGCCATGACATGTTTTGACACTAAGATAATTATTATAAAATTAATATTCTTTTATATATTTCAAAGACATTTTGATAGTTGGTACAAAAAGTATATTCAAATACATTATCACAGATTCATCGTGTGTGTCCCCCCCATCATTTTAATAAGCTTTAAAAAATATATCGTACTGTCATTTTTATGCTTCCTAAAAAAACGACTTTACAGATCGATAGATTGATTTATGAACATGATTGACGGGGAAATCATACATTTTAGGTCCATGTAAACATCTGTGTGTAACATTTGAGGTAACTTTTTAATAAATTTAAGAAAAGGGGACTTCGGGTTAAATATGTCAAGTACCAGTGAAGTTTGAAATAAAATTTTAGTTTCCGAAAAAAGTTTCGAATATATAATAAATATTTTGACATCCCTACTTATAATTTTATGTATATATTTATATCTAGCACATTCAGAAAGCAACAAAATTAATCAAATCTGCGCCAACTTATTGTAAAATCAATATCTGCTAAATACTAGTATTGTACATGCTAAATTTTCCTGATGAGTGACCAGGTTTAAGTTTTTGGAGCAGGTTCATTCCTAAGTAACTATAAGCCCTATTGACCAAGCTTGCTTGAATGAGGCATCTAAGGATGCACACTACTGGACTTGCTTCAGATGGTAGACCTTATCTATATTCTCTGGACGAGTGACCAGGTTAAAGTTCTGGAGTAGGTCTCATTTCCAAGTAACTATAAGCCTTATATTGACCCAACTTGCATGAATGATACATCCAAGAATACATCTACTGGACTTGCTTGGATTCTAGATCTTACCTACATTTTCGAGAAGAGTGATCAGGTTTAAGTTTTGAAGTAGGTTTATTCTAAAGATATTAAGGCCTATTTTGACCAAACTTGCATGAATGATACATCAAAGGGTACATGCTACTCAACTTGCTTTGGATGCTGGATCTGACCTACATTTTCCATATGAGTGACCAGGTTAAAGTTTTTTGAGCAGATCCATTAACAAAATCTATAAGGCCTATCGGAACCAAACTTCATGTAAGGGATGCACACTTCAGAGTTGCTTCAGATGCTGGATTTGACCTACATTTTCCAGATGAGTGATCAGGTTAAAGTTTTTGGAGCAGACTCATTTCAGCCCTCACAGAACTCTCTGATAGATGACTTATAAGTGATTACCTTACTTTTTTACTTACACATCATTTATTGAGGACTTATACTTCACTGATATTTATAACATATAAGTGACTTATAAGTCAAGTATTAGCCACTTCTGCTTTATGCAAGTATGATTCACTTATAAGTGACTTGTAAGTAGAACAGCACTGCCTTTAAGATGTTGATTTAGAAGAGAACTTTCTATCATTCTTTAAATTCATAAAATCTGAAATCACTGAAAATTTCATGCAAAGGAATTTCAAATAAAAAGATAATGTAAATAAAACCTACTTGTTGTACCTGATGTGAAGGCATTCAAAAAATGAAACTGAGATCAACAAGACATCCTTTCACAGAAACTAATTTAGTTTCAAATTCTTGTTTATCTCTGCAGTGTCAAAATTCCTGATTGGTTAACTTGCAAAACCCAGAATGCACTTCAGGAGAAGGCTAGTATAATGTAAAAATTATCAATCCATATTTATTCTGGCTAATACCATACTGATCTTCATTATAAGTGAAGTATAGTTGAAATATTGACTGGCACTTGGCTAATCTTCATTTTTAAGTGAAATATTAAAATGTGTTCCTCATTTATACTTACTTTGACTTATAGTACACATATAGGTGAATCTCAAAACTTATAGGTGCTGTGTTAGTCTCCAATGGGTTTTTTTTCTGTAAGGGAGTATAACTTCAAGCCCTACCTAGATCAAACTTGCTTGGATGAGTGACTAAGTTTAAAGTTTTTAGAACAAGTCCATTTCCAAATAACTGCAAGTCCTCTCAGAGTGTTACTTCTACTAGATTATTAGTTAAGTGTGGGACTTTGCCTTACCTAAAGATAATATATATAGAGGTGAGCTCTGTAATCTTTACCTATGTTTTGGAATTTATTGAGGGGATCATTGTCTAGGTAGTTTTAAACTGATAACAGTTTTGTACAATTTGGCCAAACTCTCTTCTGCAGATTCTTGCTCATATTCAATAGATAAATCATAGAATGCCCCCAACAACTGCTACAAACTGGATTTATAGGGGTGGGAGTATAATCAAAACTAGTGGCTTGCAACTATGATGTAAAAAATGCCTTACTTTTTTCAGCATTAAC